AGCCATCCAAAATAAGATGTAAATACATGATAGTACAACAATATTAGAATTAAAGTGTCAGAATTATAGCCTAAAATGGCAGTTAAGAACTATGATTTGATTGGAAAATTCAAAAGATAGGTTAATCCAAATGATGCAAACAAATGTAAACATTCAAGAGCATAATTTATAAAAGTCAATAGTTGAAAAAGATAACAAGGTGTAGAGCTGGATGAACACAGCAGGCCAAGCAGCATCAGAGGAGCAGGAAAGCTGATGTTTCGGGCCTAGAAGGGTCTGTGTTCATCCAGCTGTACACCTTGTTATCTCAGATTCTTCAGCATCTGCAGTTCCTACTATCAGTTGAAAAAGATGTGTTGTAATATTCTGCACATTGGGAGATTTAAAAAGATTGATTCTATGAAGGATCTACAGAGAGCTACAGTGTAAAATATTCCAGGTAGAACTAAAACTGGTGAAAGCTTCAAGAGGTCAGCACATCAACTGTGCAGATGTAAAGGGAGGGTTAATCTTTAAATTAAAATTTTTAATCAGAACTGGAACATTTTGCAGATAAATTGTTGATAAAGATCCAGATAAAATGGAGGCCTATAGAAAAATAAACAGACTGTGATTAGGTGGGGCAGCAATGTGCGCATATCAGAAGTGATAACAATGTGACAAAGTGGGTAATAATGAGCGAAGTTACAGAAACAAAAGAGGTTTATGAGTTGGAAAGGATGTGTGAAAACTGACAGGGGAATAGCAGAAAGTAAGGCTAAAACAGAAAATCAGGCTCCAGTAAAACATGGTGGAAGCTCAGGGTCTTGGTTATAGAAATAACACAGTTTAACAAGGTGTTTGGTATTTCAATGTGATCACACTTCGAGGCGAGAGAGGTTGTTGACTTGCTCGCCAAGCTGGCTTGTTACATTCAGAAGTTTGTCACCATGCTAGATAACATCATCTCGGCAAGCAAGTCAACAATCTCACCCACAACCCAAGCTACAAATCTTTGCTAAAACTTTAATCTCGAGTTGAGAATTTCAAAGTGAGCAATTTCAAACTACAAAGTGCTGAAGGTGGAGTAAAAACAGAAAATACCAGACAAACTCAACAGATTTAACAACATTTTGAGTCCATTATGACTCTTCTTTAGAACTTCAATCATTTGTTTCTCTCGCCACACTTGATACCGGAACTACTGAGTTTCTCCTACACTTTATGCTTAATTCAGATCTCCAGCATCTGCAGTAGTTTGCTTTTATTACAGGTGGAGCATGTTTCTACCAGAAGTAAACATTGCCTTCACTATTATCAGAGTTCCCATTTCCTCTTGAAATAAGTCCACATTGTCTTCTCTATCACAAAGAGCACATTCTTCTATCTTTGCAACATTGCCCTACACTGCCTTTGTTGTTTCTGCTGCTGGAACTCCCGTCCATGCCTGTTATCTTCAAACTCAACTAGTCTAATGCTCTTCTGGCCAGCCTCCCACTTCATCCCTCTTAAGCTTAAACTTTTTCGAATTTTCAAATTATTCTGCTGCCTGTGTCTTAACTTTTGTAAAACCATTTCACCCATCACCCATCTGGTTTGCTACCTATCCTACGTGGCTCACAGTCAAGTGACGCCTTCATTATAAAATTCTGAATTTAATTTGTTTTATTGTCACATGTACTCAAATGAGTACAGTGAAAAGTTTACAAGTCACCACCTAAAAAGCGCCATCTTAGGTAGAAGGTATAATGCCTTGATTTTAAAATTCTCATTCTTACTTTCAAATTCTTCCACTGCCTCACCATCTCTATTGCTTCAAGATCGTCCAGACCTACACACTTTGAGGTATCTACACCTCTCAATTCTAGTCTCGTAAATATTCCTATTTTGAATTGCTCAACAATTGGTGGCAGTGCCTTCATCTGCCTCAGTTGTTGAACCTTCTCTTGTCTTAGCAGGTTTAAGTATTCGGACCCAAGAATCTCAGAAATAATGAGACCGGACTTAGTTAACCAACCAAAAGCTTTTACTGTTGAAAAGAATCCAACTTGTTAATGAACTCAGATGCATGAAGTTACAACGTACTTACATCCACAACTGATCAGCACCATGTGAGAGGTAGTCTTCAGAGACCAACTGAGTCATCTCTCTCTCTCTCAATTACAGTAGTCAATCTCAAAAGTCACTGTCCTATATACAGTTAAAACCTGCACATGCTGAATTGGGGATGGATTCTCATTTTCAGGTCTTCATCAGGACTTGGTTTAGATTACAAATTAGGCAGTTGTTCAGAGTATTTAGCTGTTAGCTAATTATTAGTCACATTTATCAGGTCAGAGACATCAAAGGACACACTCACACATCTGTCTTTCCAGACTTCCAAGGCCGATTTCAAAAACATTTTAATCAGCCTCTTTTCTCTTAGGTCTGATAAGGCTATCTAACTTAATCTGGGAACAAGGCTGTTCTCATTGTTTAGCAATCTTGAGAAAAACGAGAAACAGAGAGAGAAAATGCTGGAGAGACTCAGGAGATCTGGCAGCATCTGTGAAAAGAGAATAACAGACTTAATGTTTCAGGTTTGATATGACTGTTAGAATCATAGTCATGCAGTATAGAAACAGATCATTTGGTCCAACTCATCCACGCTGACCAGACATCCTAATCTGATCTACTACCATTTGGCAGCATTTGGCTCATATCCCTCTAAACTCTAAATAAAAACCAGAAGAACTGCGGTTGCTATAAATCAGGAACAAAAACAAAGTTGCTGGGAAAGCTCAGCAGGTCTGGCAGCAGTTGTGAAGAAAAAACAGAGTTAATGTTTCAGGTCCCATGACCCTTCCTCAGAACTGGACCAGTTGGCATACGAGTTCTGAGGAAGGGTCACTGGACCCGAAGCATTAACTCTGTTTTTTTCTTCACAGATGCTGCCAGACCTGCTGAGCTTCCCCACCAACTTTGTTTCTGTCCCTCTAAACCCTTCCTATTCATATAAATTTCCAGATGCTTTTCAAATGTTGTCATTGTACCCACCACTTCCTCTGGCACCTCGTCCCACATATGCGTGTGTTAAAAAGTTAGCCCTCAGGTCCTTTTTAAATCTTGCCCCTCTCACCTTAAACCTATACCCTCTAGTTTTGAAACCTCCCACCCTTTGAAAAAGACCTTGGCTATTCACCTTATCCATGCCCCTCATGATTTTATTAATCTTTATAAGGTCTCTGATGCTTCAGGGGAAAAAGCCCCAGTCTATTCAGCCTCTCCCTGTAGCTCAAACCCTCCAGTCCCAACAACATCCTTGTAAATCTTTCTGAACCCTCTCAAGTTTAACAATCTCCTTCCTATAGAACAGCAACCACAATTGTATGCAACATTCTAAGAGTGGCGTCACCAATGTCCTGTAGAGCTACAACATGACATCTTAACTTTAAACGCAATGCACTGACCAACGAAGGCAAGTAAGCCAAATGCCTTCTTCACCACCATTTCTACCTGTGACTGCACTTTCAGGGAACTTCAGTCATATTGGACTTGAAATATTAACTTTTTTTCTCTCTCCAGAGATGCTGGCAGATCTGCTGAGTTTCTCCAGCATTTTCTGTGCTTGTATCAGATTTCTAGCATCTGCAGGAGTACTTTGATTTTATTTGAGAAAATCAAGCTCTCTCCCCTTGCCACTCTGTGTCCCAAAGCTTGAAGGACCAGATTGGTCAAGTTTAAACAATCTATATATACCATCATGGCTGGATAGCCAACACAAGTCTGAACCTCAACTATAGCTGATTCTACAGGATCCATGTCCAACAAGGTTCTATGCCCCAAAATCCCCTTCCTAAGGCTCTACTTTGTTTCTTTAAAACACTCCATAAAACGTCCCTCTTTGATCAAGTATGCAGTGTCCTAACATCTCTTAAAACAAAGGACAGAAACTGCTGGAAATGCTCTGAACCGGTAGCAACTGGGAACAAAGAAATAGATCAGACCTTTCAGGTCAGAACTAGTTCAGCAGCAATTAGAGACAACAAGGTGCAGAGCTGGATGAACACAGCAGGCCAAGCAGCATCATAGGAGCAAAGCAGCAATTAGTTTTTATTTCAGATTTCCAGCATCCAAGGTGTTGTTTTTGCTGTAATGTGTCCTTCTGTGGTTCAATGCCAAATATTGTCCACTATGCCACAAGAGTTCCGTCTCTATAAGGGAGAGACAATTGGTTTGATAGCTTGAGGGGCACCACCCTTGAGCAGGTCCCAAGACTACCTCAGTCAGGAACAGACACTTGGTGTTACTAAAGCATATGCCAGCCATGCAGACAGACCTAACCAGCTCCCTCGTGGGACATGAAGGTTGTTACGTAAATGCAAGCTGCTAGTGTACATTTACCTCAACTGCAAAAATATCTGTAAGGCACAATTCACTATTGTTGTCACCAAAACAATGAAGTGATTGAATCACTTTCAACTATTAGCTACGCTCACAGGACACATTTCAGAGCTGTCTGCCCTAAGTAAGAGTGTTTTCTTTATAGTCTTTCCCTGATATTAAGGTTAGGCCGAGCTTTTCCAGCAACTTTTGTTTTTATTAAAATTAGCATCTGTGCTGAATTGTATTGGAATAATAACCATTAAACATTGACAAAACCATAAACAACTGTTCTGCTTATTCTTCACAGAACAAGGATTATAACATTTAGATTTTCAGAGTTAAGAGCCAAACTCCCATTGTGTAACCAGACACCTTAGCAAGCAAGGAGGGCGCTTCCATCCTAATACAGGGGAGATTAATAAAACAGATATAACAGCCAACACGAACAAACACGAGAAACATTTTACCTCTAATCAATAAAAACGTGTTTCATGTATGCGATAATAATGAATTAGAATAATACATACAACAAGCATGCAGGAGGATTTTTAATTAACAATATGCACACCGATCCCCCCCTAGTAACAAATGAAAGACACCCACCATGAGCCTCATGTCGTGTTGAGGGCTGACGTTCAACGTACCAGACGGTGACGTTTCGCACAGACTTTGATGACGGAGCGCACGAACGCCCAGGCAGAGCGCGTGTAGTGAGGTCGTAGGCGCCATTTTGTGCGCGCTTTTCATCGAGTGAGGAGGCAGCTACTCGCTCTCCCGTCAATCCGCCGCCGCGCTTCACTGTTCATCAGGGCCCATCCCTCTCTTTGTTTCTCTCTTTGTCTGTTCCCACCCCAGCTTTTCACCCTGGCGATGGCAGAGTATATCCGTGTGGCGGAGGAGGAGTCGGAAGAACCGATGGAGATCCCGAGCGAGGACGACGGCACGGTGCTGCTGTCCACGGTGACGGCGCAGTTCCCGGGCGCCTGCGGCCTGCGCTACCGTAATCCCGATAACCAGTGCATGCGAGGCGTGCGCCTGGTGGAAGGCATCTTGCACGCCCCGGACAATGGCTGGGGGAACCTGATCTATGTGGTTAACTACCCGAAAGGTGCGGCCCCCGTGGGGGGAGGGGGAGGGGATAGACAGGGAGCGAGGGTCGGTTCGCGCTGAATGGCGGCGATGGTTTACTCCCTTTCCCCAGGGATGGGGGGGTGTGCTTGGAGACGCAGAGAGACGGCAGTCTTTTTATTCAAAATGCACGGTTTTTTAGCGACACCGTCCCGAGAGCCTCGCTTCCCCGCTCGTGTGCCGGTGCCCAGCCGCCATTTGCTGAACACCCCGTCGCCTTGTGCGTGCAGTTTGCCCAAGCGAATGAGTCTGATTTGCTTCGATCCAGCGTTAAAGTCGTTCCGCTAATGTCTTTTTTTTCCCCCCCACCCAGGTCTGCAACCTCTGAGTTCACCTTTTCAAAAAGTGGGAGTGAAAGCTTATTTGCTATTCTTAATTTTTATTTTGCTTCCCTTCTGAGCTGCTGGCTTTGTGCTTCAACTACTCAACCGCCATTTATGCTCCGCTTCCATCCCAACGAATACGCCCAATGTTGCCGTAGTCCGTAATTGGTTAAGATATATAAGTAGCAGTCCCTAAAGACTTACCAGATAGAAGTCTACAAAACCAGAGCATTTCTTTGCAGTAGACGCTACTGATCATCGGGGATGATACCTGCAGTTCTCCTGATGTTTTAAGTTGTCTTTTGTAATCGTTTTAACGATTGATTTCCTTTGGGGGGGTGGTAGCCTTTACATTAGTGCTAAAACAGTTGGCTTGATGTGCCCGTGCTGAAGATGTTAAAAGCTCAAGTTTTATTGCTGTGCCCAGGTAGTATGCATAGGCTGAAAGAATGTTCGAAGGACTTTATTGCCACCCTTTTTCAGCAACCGAACAGCTTCCTCTAATAAAACACAATACAGTTGCTGGAGATTTGCACAAAAACAAAAATTGCTGGAGAGACTTGTCAGGTCTGGCAGCAATTCTCAAAGGTCACAGGGCTCAAAATGTCAATACTGTTACACTCGCCTCAGATGTTGCCGGACCTGAGTTCCAGCAATTCCTTGTTTGAGTAGATTACTATGCTGCTTGAGGCCAGTATGAGTCAACCTCATTGCTATGGGTCTGGAGTGATGAGGATCAGAGATTAGGAATGCTGCACATCCTTACCTGAAAAATGACAGTCACCCAGATGGTTTTTCTAAGAATCCAGTAGTTTTGTGGTCACTATTAGTTTTTAATAGTAAATTTGTTTACTTAACAAAATTAAAATCCCCCAGACATGTAATTCTAACTCTCTCCAAAGTAGTAGACCTTTGAATTTATATTAAATATTCATCCTTTGGTTCAAGTAATAAACTGCAGCAGTGCCAATGTTGTAAATTATTGAAATGTTTCTGTTACCTAGTGGAGTGTTGTTGAACAAAGAGACTTTACGCCTTCATAGTTCTTGAAAGTGGAGTCCCAGGTAGACAGGATAGTGAAGAAGGCATTTGGAATGCTTGCCTTTATTGGTCAGTGCGTTGGATATAGGAGTTGGGGGGTCATGTTGCACCTCTGAGACATGGGTTAGACTGCTTTTGGAATACTGCATGCATTTCTGGTCTCCCTAATGTAGGATGTTGTGAAACTTGAAAGGGTTCAGAAAAGATTTACAAGGATGTTGCCAGGATTGGAGGGTTTGAGCTATAAGGAGAGACTGAATAGACTGAGGCTATTTTCCCTGGAGCATTGTAGGTTGAGAGGTGACCTTTTTAGAGTTTATAAAATCATGAGGGTGTACATAGTGTGAATAGATAAGGTCTATTCTTTTGGGGATTCCAAAACTAAAGGGTATAGGTTTATGGTGAGGTGGGGAAAGATTTAAAAGGGACCTAAGGGGCAGCTTTTTCATGCAGAGGATGGTGCATGTATGGAATGAGCTGCCAGAGGAAGTCTGGATGGGTACATGAATAGGAAGGGTTTAGAGGGATATGGGCCAAATACTGGCAAATGGGACAAATTTATTTAGGATATTTTGTTGGCATAGACAAGTTGGACCAGTGGATGTGGTTCCGTATGTACAATTGTACTTTGATACTGTAACACTTGGAAAGGAATTTTCTTTGCAATTGGACTGTAAAATGCGGCACAGTGGCTCAGTGGTTAGCACTGCTACCTCACAGCAGCAGGGACCTAGGTTCAATTCCAGCCTCGGGCGACTGTCTGTGTGGAGTTTGCACGTTCTCCCCGTGTCTGGGTGCTCCAGTTTCTCCCCACAGTCCAAAGATGTGCAGGTTAGGTGGATTGGCCATGCTCAATTGTGAATGGTGTTCAGGGATGGGTCGGTGTGGACTTGTTGGGCCAAAGGGCCTGTTTCCACACTGTAGGGATTCTATGATCTAAAACATAGGAACAGTAGGCAATTCAAATCACTGAGTCTGCTCTGCCATTCAATGAGATTGAGTGATCCTCAACTCTGCTTTCCTGCCTTTTCCCAATAGAATTTCTTTTCTGAAGATCTATTTCTCCCTTAAGTGTACTTGATTGCCCTGCCTCAACAGCCCTCTAAGGTAAAGAATTCCACAGATTCCACTACCTTCATAAGAAATTCGTCCTTGTCTCTGCCTTAGATCTGTGAACTCATTCTGAGATGATGCCCTCTGGTCCTAAACTGACCCACAAGGGGCAACAACCTTTGTACTACCCTGTCAATGCTCCACGAATTTTGTATATTTTAATAAAGTCAGCTCTGTTCTGAATTTCAGTGAGTATGGACATAATCTACTCAGCTTCACCTCATAAGATTTGGCTGTTGTTGGCAATCACCTGCTAACAAGTATTATTGTCCACCTAGGAAATTCTATGTCACTGGGCATGAGATCTGTGGGTCTTTGCATGGCTGGTGTCAGCCGAATGAACCTAATCTAGCCTGCCTTCATTCAATGCAATTATATCTTTCCGTAAAGGGTCCAAAACTGTTCACAGTATTCCAGCTGTGGTCTGACTGACTGTTCAATAGTTTTTGCAAAATCTCCAACTTTTATACTTATTTCCCATTGAAATAAAGGCCAACATTCCATTTATTTTCTCTGTTGCTCTCAAACTTGGCTTTTTGTGATTTGTGGGCAAGGACTCCAGATCTCTTGCATTTTGCAGTCTTCCTCTGTTTAAATAATACTTGACAGCTCTATATTTCCCTGCTGAAATGTGTAGCCTCAGTTTCCTGCATTAACTTGAAGATTTTGCCTCCTAGCTTAACTTGTCTATAACCCTCTGCAGATTGTCATCCTCACCACTTGCCTTCCCACCTGTTTTGTCTGTAAACTTGACTGTACCACATTCACCTTTCTCTCCAAGTTATTAATATATACTGTAAATAATTGTGGTCCAGCAATGATACCTGAGGCACTAGTTTTAGGGGTTTGCACACTGAAATGCCCACCGTGTCTCAACCCTTTGATACCATGGGCTGTTTTTATTAAGGAGCTAAAACGTGTATTACCATATCAACCATAATATGTTGAAGCAGTTGAATCAGACAGGTTTGCTTGTAATGCTGAAACGCAGGGAAATATGAATCCTTGTTTTCTTTGTATCTAGATAACAAAAGGAAAATGGATGAAATTGATGCGTCTTCAGCTGTGAAAGTGAAGAGAGCAGTCCAGAAAACATCAGACCTCATTGTTCTTGGACTTCCCTGGAAGACAACTGAACAGGACTTGAAGGATTATTTCAGTACTTTTGGAGAAGTGATTATGGTGCAGGTCAGGTTACAATTTTGCTATAAATGGATATGGTAATCACCAGATGGAATCCTTGAATTCCTGTCTAGAACCTGTATTTTAATTTGGGCTGCTGAAACTGCCATTGCAGTTAAGAACTATAATAAATGAATTTAACTTTCTACTTCCATCACACTTAAAGACTGCATTTTAACCATCTCATGAATTTATGTAAACGAACAAGGATGTCAACAATGTAAAAACATTGCTGGTTTTGTATTCAGTGTTTTGAGGTTTATACAAATCCTTTGGCATATTTGTGACCAGTGTCTATTCACTTTCAAACTTTTCTTGCCCATCGTAAAGGATCAAAATATTCAAATTCCAGATCAACGTCTCTGTTTCTTGTAGCATTTTGAAATTGTATTGCAGTATATTTGACTTCAGGCCAATAATGGATTAATGGATTAATGGGTTTGCTGCTTCTGAAGCATTTGGAGTATAGACACTACGACAAAGGTCCTACTTTCTCAACTATGCCTCCGGGATAATGTTGACTTTATTTTTACTTTTTTTAGTTTCATCGTGTGCTTTTGGTAAAATAATTATGGGAAACACTTGTTTGCTGAACAAACAACCTATACAGTAGTGGGCTCTACATCCCAATGTTGAGAGGTTGAAATCTTGTGTTTTTTTTTGCTAATGGGCTGTCTTAGTCCTCTCTTCCAATAAAGACAGACTGATCCAGAGTGGAGAATATGAAGTTTTTGTGTATACAGAGACTGTTTTTGCAGATGATATTTTGCTGTTTTATTTATGTTTGCAACTGATTCTCTCCTTGTCCACAGGTAAAGAGGGACACTAAGACAGGGAATTCTAAAGGCTTTGGGTTTGTCAGATTCACAGAATATGAAACACAAGTGAAAGTGATGTCACAACGGCACATGATTGATGGACGCTGGTGTGACTGTAAACTGCCTAATTCCAAGGTATGACCTTTTTTCACTAAAATAACTGAACTGCAGTTTTCATAAGAGTAGGCTTAAAAAGAGAAGGAAACAAATAAGAGTTGAAAGTGTTCAGTATCTAAGTGACTGTAAAGTGCACAACCTGCATTAGGTGGGTTCCTAGAGACATGTGGCACACCCTTCAAGTTTGACTCTGCAAGATGCTGCCAAACCAACATATTCATAATCTGGTATTTCATCTGGTCGGTCTTGATCCCAAAGAGAGGCTTAAGTGTTCACTGGATTCAAAACTGTTCTTAAGTATAGCCTTCCTGCTTTCTGTTTACGATCATGCTTTCGTTTGTAGTCACTTTTTGCATAAGTGTCCCCAGACATTTTACAAGTCTATTGGCAGACAGTTGGACACAGTGCCACATAAACTTCTAGTTATCTATCCTAATTTTCTGTCAGACACAGATTTTAAGGAGCACAGTAAAGAGTGGAAAGAGTTAGGGGCCAAGGGCTGAAGATATGGCTGCCAGTGATGGAGCAAATTTAAAATTGGGGTATGCAAGAGAAAAGAATAGAGATCTCAAAGCATAATGGGGGCTGGAGGAGTCAGAATGTGGACTAGCTGGGAGTTCTAGAGGGCTTGAAAATAAGGGTGATAACTTTAAAATTGTGTTGCCAGACATTGTCAGATTGAGTGAGTGAATTTGACTTGGTATAACTAAGAATGAGGGAAGTAGGTAGCTGGTGAGACAAGCATTTGAAATAACCACATCTAAAGGTGGCAGGTATGAATCAGATTTTCAGCAATTGAGCAGTATTAAGGAGATTGAAATGGATGTGTGATTTGAAGCTTGTGATAAAATCCAGACCATGGTTCTGAACAGTCTGGTTCAGCCTATAAGGGGCTGCAATGTTGTATTGAAAGGCTACCTAGAAATGGGCTAGTCAACAATTTCTACATCCTGTTCTTTCTTCCCTCCAGCCCCCAATCCTAGAAATTGGGGCTTTTCAGTATTTCATCTCACTTTTGGCTAAGAGTTGATCAATAAACTTTTTTTTCTTTTTAATTAAATAGAAAACAGGATTTAGATACAGGAGGCCCTTCAAGCATGGCAATTCTGTAAGATCATGACTGATCTGACTGGCTATAATTCCGCTCCAGTAACTGTAGATTTTTCACTGACAGTGAAGCATTTATTCTTTAAAGGCACAATCTGCTTGTAAACATGTTCAATGATCTGTCTCTGGAGAAGCATTCCACAGATTTTGTAAGCCCCGTGAGAAGAAAAAGTCCTAATCTCTCTCGAATGGAAGTATCCCTTATTTTTGCACGTTCCTTTATTGTTGAACATTCTCAAAAAGAGAAATACTTCTTCAGCACTCATGCTGTCAACTTGCCTCAGGATCTTGTATGTTTCAATTAGATTGCCCGTCATTTTTCTAATCTTGTACACCGGCACTGCACCTTGCCTTAAGACAACTTATTTCTAGGCTGAGGGGGTTATCGACAGTTTCTGAACTGAATTTTGTCCTTTCCTAAGTCAGCCAAAGTTGTACACATACTATAAATATGGTTCCCCAATGTCCTACACAATTGTAATAACATACCCCTGCTTAGGAATTCCGTTTCCTTTGCAATGTGCACTTGACATTCCATTTGCTTTCCCAATCTCTGCCAAGATGTTGAAACTGTTTCATGTATCTAAACCCTCTCGACTGCAACGTTTTTCAATGTCCATTGTAATGGTACGCAAATTTTCTATCCTTGAGTGTCTCATTCATTCTGAGAGCGGCAATTGCCAATTTTTAATCCACATGTATGATAAATCCACAGCCCTTTATTGACTTTCTATGTGAAAATCCCAGCTTGCTTTATTACTTATGTTAATGTTGATCATTTGAACAAGCATACACCCTTCATCCATGTAATTGTTTGAAAAATGTAAATTGTTGATGCCCCTGCACTGATCCTTTTGAAAAGCTGAAAACATTTGGTACCAAGTCTACTTTCCCCTGTTTCTGCGCGCGCGCGCGCGCGC